AGTATAAATTGCAATGTAGTTGTGCAACAGGGACATTAGAGGCTTCAGGAATCTCATTTCTCTCTTCATAATATTTCCTGGAAAACTCCATAAAAACAAAACACAGCATCCACTTTATATAATTACAAAAAAGCTGGGAACTCAATATTTTGTTTTGTTTACAGTCTAACATCCTCCTCGTTGGCTGGAGACCATAATGTTATTGTGTATGTGATAGACTGGAAATTTTGATATGATGTGTAATTTTCTTTTCTACTTCCCTTTTTGAAAAAAGAAAAAAACCACAAGAGAGAAGAGGGACTGGCACTCGTTACCCACTCACAAAGGGTTAATGCCAGGGAGGGCTGTGGTGGCCATTTACCAGCAGTGACATGGTGGAAGGGAGGAAGGTGACCTGGCTAATGATGTAGAAGAAGAAATATCAGAGGAAACTAAGAAAGAAAAAATACATTGATATAATTTATCGAAAGGAAAACCCACGCTTTTAAAGGGAGAGCAGGCAGATGATGAGTTATGGCATCGGAGAACAACCTTCAGAGAAATCTCTGTATTTAAATCACCTGGTTTGTCCTCAGTTATTTAAGTCACCTGGTTTGTCCTCAGTTCCATCCTTCCATCCCAGGGAGAAGCCAGCTCTCAGGGAAGTCTCTGGTGTGTTCCCGGGATGTGATTTTGTTGTGTCCAGACCCCCTGGGTGGAGGCTGAGGCTGCCCTCCTGGCTGAGCTCCCCTTCCATCCCCTGCCCTACAGGGACCTGTCAGGTCCTGGTCCGACTGTCGGTCCAGGAGGGGTTTGTAACAGTTCTGAGGGTGTGATTAAGTGAGACATCCTGTTTTTCTGTCACACGGGCACAGGTCCCTGTCCTGGGCAGAGCTCTGGTACCCAAACCAGCCGTGGTCGGGCTGGATTCAAGCAGGGTGGGGGGCAGGCAGGGATGCTGAAGCCCCCCCATCTCCTCCTCCATGACGGGGGACGGGGATGCCCTGGGTCTTGTCTCCTTTGCATGAGCAGAGTGGCATCGAGCCACGTCCCTTTGCTGTCCCCAGCATCCCACCAGCCACGCCACGTCTCCTTGCCGGTGCCTGGAGCAGGCTCCCGGCTGACACCCAGCTCCCGGAGCCCAGAGCCCCCATCCCGCCCCACTTTATTTCTGTAATTAGCTGAAACGCAATCAAATATCCGCAGGCAAACCATCAGAGGGCTTGGGCTCCTGGCAGGTTTCCTGCCCAGGCAGAGGGACGTGCTCCGAAGCCCATTTTCAGTTCCTCGCCTCGCAGCCCCCGGCCAGGGGGAGCGTGCTCATCCCTCCTTACGCCTGGGATGAGAAAAAGCAACTTTTCATGTTTTTTTCCACCCCCCCCCCCTCCATCCTTTCACACTGTGCTACGCTGGAGCGCAGAGCAGCCCCACTGCTTGTTTTTCAAAAGCTGTTTGCTGCCTAATTTAGGATCCTCGACTTAAAAGTCTCCAGCCGGAGCTGTCGAACCCGCAGCTGTGTTTTGCAGATGAGAGACTTGGGCTGGTTTCAGATCTTGTTTTTGGAAAGGCCACCGTCATCCTGAGCGAGAGCAACACGAACGGCACGAGTCCATCCTCCAGAGCAGCGAACCGTGAGAGCCCCCGTGCTCCTCCAGAGCTCTTGAAGGACTGAAGTCTTTCCCTGTTCATTTTGGATTGAAAAAAGCACCTCCTTTATGTTTAACCCTTCCATTTCTCCAGCCTCTCCAGGTTTCTATCACCAATTTGCTTAAAACAAAACAAAAGACAAAAAAGACAACACTATAAAAAACCCCATCATCAAAAAAGCCCTTTCAGGCCCTTGGGATGAACTTTGGGGTTCATCCTCCTGCTTCTACCGTTGTTGGGATGACAATTTTTAAAGGGTGTCCATGTGGCACGTGCAGCCTCAAGGGGCACTGCCCCTCTAGTAATGAATAATTGTTTTCAATTTTGGAATGAAGGCTTTACATCCGAATGTTCTCCCATTGATAGGTTGGAAGGGGAGGTCAAAATTGAGAACAGAGTGTGCAATTACAGAAGAAACAAAAAATATGGACTTCTGTGTGTAGCTTCTGGGGTCTGATCCAGGGGGACAGCCTGGAGCAGTACAAGAACCTGGGTGTGGGGCCAAGATGTAACAGCCCTGCTTTGTGTGTAGCTTCTGGGGTCCGGTACAGGGGGACAGTGCCCCTGCTTGGGGTGAACGTGTGCCAGGGGCTGCCAAGATGTAACAGCCCTGCTTGGGGTGAACGTGTGCCAGGGGCTGCCCATACATAGAATCACTGAATGGTTTGGGTGGGAAGGGACCTTTCCATACATAAAATCACTGAATGGTTTGGGTTGGAAGGGACCTGAAAGCCCCCCCAGTGCCACCCCCTGCCCTGGGCAGGGACACCTCCCACCACACCAGGTTGCTCTAAGCCCCCTCCAACCTGCCCTTGAACCCCTCCAGGGATGGGGCAGCCACAGCTTCTCTGGCCAACCTGGGCCAGGCTCTCACCACCCTCACACCAAACAAGTTCTTCCCCACATCTCAGCTCCATCTCCCCTCTTTCAGGGTCCAACCCTTCCCCCTCCTCCTAGGGCTCCCCTCCCTCATCCAGAGTCCCTCCCCATCTCTCCTGGAGCCCCATCTCAGCAGAGATGGGGCCAAGTTTCTATAGACTGGGGCCAGAAAAAATTGAGATGAGCAGAGCAGCCAAACACTAAACAAAGGGGATGGAAACGAAGGTGGTGATGGCTCATTAGCTCTAAGCTGCTCAAGACTCCAGTCATTTTATTACAACTGCTCCCCAAGCAGCTGGAGCACACCTCCACACGGGAGAGTCTTTGCTTGAGAGGAGATTTGGAAGGACATTTGCTCCAAGACATTGGAGCAGGGATTTGCAGGGGGGTTTGAGCAGTGCTGTAGCAAACACTGACCTCGGTGCCAGAGATGCATCTGAAAAGTTAAAAAAATAATTCAAAGTGCAATTGAAGTTGCTGATATCTCTACCTCCCACCCAAAGCCCCCACAGAGGTCCAGCACTGAGCTGTTCTGGCCTTGGGTGCATTTGCACTGGGTCACATTTTGGTTCTTCGAGGCCCAGGTGAGCTACAGGTTTTCAGGTGGGAAGAGGCAGCATTAATAACATCTGCTCTCCTGCCCTGGCCAGGAACCTCCCCTGGTGATATCTGCCAGCATTCCTCTGCTCCAGCTGCTTTCCTTCAGAGAGCTGGTGGTGGCTCTAGGCTCAGTTTTACCTCTAGGCAGGAGTCATCAGCTGCACGATTAACTCTTTTAACCCCTCTGGTAAGCAGCAGCGCTGCAGAAGAGCGGCTCCGTGTGTCACCATCACACTGACCATGGTCTGTGAGACACCAGGAACTCCTCAGCAGCAGCTGAGGACACAGAGGAGAAGAGAGAGAGAGAACAAGTGGTCTGGGCTGTCAGCAGGGACAAAAAGTCCTTAGTGAACATTCAGCTCGGTTTTCCCTTGCTTAGTGCAAGGAAATGCTCCAGCAGGGGATGGTGAAGCTCTGAACCAGGTGGTATCACAAGGGTGTGGAACCCTCATCTTCCTTCTCCTCTGCTGAGCTTTTGGGGCAGGAATGCTGTAGGTGAAGTCAGCCTTGCCTGGGGCTGTGGGACAGCCTGGGTGTTTTCCCAAGGTCAGCTACAGCTCTAACTCCTACAAGAGCTAGGACTTTCCTACAGGAGTTGACCCCAGATCCATCAATTTGAACCAGCCCTGTTCAACCAATAGAATCAGGGCTACTAGAAGAAGGGTTGGGGCAAGTTAAAGCCCCTCAACATAGGGATGACAATGAGGCAACGCATTACACACAGCGGAGACAGCCACTGGGGCATCAAAAGTCAACCTTCTCCTGGGCAGTATCTCCTGCACCCTCAGTCCTTGCTCCTTGAAGGCAATTCTTATCCTAATATTACTATGGAAAGAGCCAGGGGCCATTGGTAGGTGACAGTCCATGGTGTTACACAGGTCTAGATACACACAGGAGAGTGGAAAGGACAAGAAGCACCCACTTGGGGACACAGCTGGAGCCCCAATGGGGGCTGACGGGACACCAGCCATAACAATGAGCTGATTCACACCAGTGATTCCCACTACCTTGTCTGCTACCACATGGTCCAGCAAGTCCCCCCCAAACACTGATGGTTGCCCACCAGCCAAGGCAGCCACAGGTGATAGGATGGTGGATCTCCACCTCCCACAGCAAACCCAGCTGGAAAAACACTTCACAACCTTCAAGGTCACCCCAGCATCATGAGGTGATGAGGGCCAGAACCCTCTGGAAGGATCCATCCCTTTTCCAGCCTCCTGCCCATGGACCTGGGAGGAGACACTCAAGAGCTGGAAGGGTTGATGTGGGAAGGTTGCTCCCGTGCTGCCAGGAGCTGGTGGCACTTTGCTAGAACCGAGAACCCCTACACAAGAAGGTGGATGGCTGGGCACTGCCACCCCAACCATCCCTGTGGGTGGATTTGAAGCTGCAGGCAAGAGGCTGGAGGACCTGGTGACATCCACGTGCACAGGGTGGGACCCAGCATGTGAAGGGGCTCCATGAAGAGCCTGGAAACAAGTCTCTCAGTGCCACCACCTATCCCAGCATCACCAGGGGATGCTGATGCTCTCCAAGCATGACATTCCCTCATGACATGGAATAACAACCATCTTTCCTCCTCCACTCCCCTTTCTTGGGCAAAGAGGTGTCCAGATGCCCAAAGAGGCTCCTCTGACAGGGCAGCACCCTTTGGACCTCCAGGGACCATTCAGCCACCAGCAGGGTTGCTCCCCAAATATTTCTTGAGGCAGATGTGTGAGCACCCTCCCTCCTGCACCCCTTCTTGGGGCACACGGATAACCAGTCCCACCGTGGTCCAACCCCAGCAGTTGCCAGCCCAAGTAAGAGGCATCATTAAACAATGCTAATAAATACTTTATTTACCAAGATCACATTAAAATATTCTTAAGACTGTCCCATCTTGCTGGGTCCCTTCAGCAGCAGCTCGAGGATCCCAGAGGAGGCTTGGAGAGCTCACGCAGCAACACCAGCTTCATGGCCAGCAGGACCTCGCGGTGGCTGAGGTGGCTTCTTCTGCTGCAGCGGGACAGCCGGGTGGCCTCCAGCGCCACGTCCCCGAGCAGCTGGGGGCTGCCCAGCCAGTCCAGGGCAGCAGCTACCAGGCAGGAGGCTCCAGTAGACCACGTCTATAAGGAGAGCAACCATCAGCACAGCCAGCTGTAGGGCAGGACAACTTGGGGAAGTGCCTGCAGGCACGGGTCAAACAGCGCTCCCTCAACCCCATCCCACCACACCTTCAATTTAAGTTGAAAACCTCCACATTTGGCTAATGCATGAGTATCCAGGCTTGGATACATGGATGACCAAGCTGAGCCCAAGGTCCAAATGACTCAGAGCTGGGATGATCCAAGCCCAGTTAGGACATACCTGATTTAGGAGCTTGTGGATGTAGATGGAATAAGCCACCTTCTTCTTCTGCCTGCGGGGTCGGAGGCAGAGGAGGCTCTGCCAGGCACACCCAGCCACTGCCTTCCTCTTCGAGAGGATGGTGGGGTCATGGTCCATCGCTGCTGCCCACACCTAGTGCTGGTTCCACACACGCTTGTTGGCTCTGCTGAGGGTGAGCAGAGCATGAGCCCAGACAGTGGGGCATCAGGCATTTTCCCCCCGCCTAAATCCACCCAGGGCATTCCCAGGCAGGTAATTAGCATCATGCAAATTAAACACAAAAAATATTCAACATCTTACATCAGGCATCTCCCCCCAACCCCAGATCCACCCAGTACATTCCCAGGCAGGTAATTAGCATCATACAAATTAAACACAAAAAATATTCAACATCTTGCAGAAAACAAGAGCAGAAAATGTAGAATCATAGCCAGAAGGGACCTCCAAAGGCCATCTAGTCCCACCCCCCCGCAGTCAGCAGGGACACCCCCAACTAGACCAGGTTGCCCAGGGCCTCATCGAGCCTCTCCTTGAATATCTCCAGGGAAGGGGCCTCAACCACCTCCCTGGGCAACCTGTTCCAGTGCTCCACCACCCTCACAGGAAAGAACTTTCTCCTCATCTCCAATCTAAATCTGCTCCCCCCCCAGCTTAAAGGCAGAGAGAGCATCTCCCCATGGAGCCAAAGACAACAAAAACAACACACAAATTGGGGTGTTTCCCCCACCCCCAGCTGACCTCCAAGAGCAGCCCCAGTCTCCCCAGAAGCAGGCAGGAGGAGCCAGAGGAAGAGTCTGGGGCTGCTGCTTTTAACCTGGGGAGGTGTGGGGGGGGCTCATTGCCTTCACCTGGGGGCTGCAGCCCACCGGGACCCACTGGGCTGTGGGGACGGGGATGGGGACAAGGACATGGAAGGCCACACGGCTTTGCACCCCACATCCCACCCCTCCCTCCCCAGTTCCGACACCCAAACCAGCAATTTTTGACCTAAAACGCTCTTCTTGGGTGAGGCTGTTCCTGCTCCCAGGTTCCCCCTGGCCCCGTTGCCCTAATTAGTATTGTTAATCTAATTAGCCCAAGGCAGCAGGTTCTGGGGTGGTAGCAGACCTTGGGGTGATTCTGCGTTTATTGGGGGGTTTCGGGGGGGTTCTGTAAGTGCCAGAGTGAGGGGCTCTGGGAGGGCACCCGGGGGTGCTGGGGGCAGGATCAGGCCCTGCGTGGGGGG